TATGAAAAGGTTGTGCCAAAGCATCCTAGCCTAGCTTTGGCTAAGCCTTCGCTTCGGCTCCCCATTGGCTTTAACTGTCTTTTGCTCGCGCACTATTTAAGAGTGTAATGAAATTTTGGTACCGAATGTTACAGAAGAAACCAAATAATAACATACCAAAAATCCATGTCTGTGCAAAAATGTAAACCTACACAAAAACATGGACAAACTATCTGTTTGTGAAATCCGCAATTACTTAGTTGCCAACCCAATAAATGAATATAAATTACCGTCAGTATTAAAAATTAATTTTCTAATTTCTTTATGCCTGGTTAAATTTCCTAAAACTCTTGCGGCCTCCGCTTGACATTCAACTGAAGGTAGGCCAAGTACACGATCGATTCCTGTAATTTAATTTTTATGTATGTAAAAAATTATAAAATCGATATGCGTGTGTACTTTTTTATTTAGTAATTTATTTTAATTTACCCTGCGCTATATCGACCAAAGAAGAATGAGAATCACAATAATAAGATACATTATTAAGACAACCCAAAGTAGCTAAAAGTACCATTCCTGGATCTTTTCGCATGAGCATTGTCGATAATAATTTAGATAATTTTAATGATTTTTTTTCATTAGCCATCGGTGATAAATTACTTCCAACGATAGGGTTCATAGACATGTTTGCTATTATTCGAATTATCTACGAAAATTAATATAATATAAAAAATTGGAAATATAATGAATAAAATTAAATTTTTTTTTTTTTTACCTTAACGATAACATCATCAACAATTTCCGAATTTAATTCCGGAGTTGAATCTGAAGAATCCCTATTTGACACATTTAAATCCACTACATTTTTAATTTCTGAAAAATCCGGATTCGCAACCGCCACTTCTAAATCTTTATCAACATAAAAATCTAACAAGTTCAATAAAACTGATAAAGAAGTATCATTTCTTAAAAGCTGTAATAAACATTAATTACAGTGTTACAGAGTCGACAAAAAATTTTCACTTTTTCCTTATTTTTAAATGAAAATGAACCTGAATTCGAGCAAGATCACTGTGTTCCACAATATTACCCAAACAAAAAGATAGCCTTATTAATATTTTGTTGTTTTCCTTGTACCTCCTCATTAAATCAACAATTATGTTTAATATATTTTCCACGGACATTAGAACTTGTGTTATACTTTCATCCGTTGATAATAAACTTAAAGTTCTTGATATGTTCGTGACGATATCTTCATCTTTTGAAAATAATTCTAAACTCTATAATTTTAAATTATAATTTTTTTTTTTTTTTTTAAATATAATTAAAATTAAAATAAATATTATTTATTTTTAAACATACTTTACATATAACGGAAATACAGTTGGTTGTGATGAATAAAGGTAAAGCTCCATCTCCAGCAGCCACGTGTCTTAAAACTCCCGTTAATTGAAAAAGGGCGTGTTGCGTTTGTTCATCTACCGCACCATTTTCCACGCACTTTTAATTAATAAAAATTGTAATTTTTATTCGAAAAATTGACATCTTTTAATTTTGTAAAAAAAATTACTTACTTACCGTTGTATTAATTAATTTTAAATGTAAAATCATTAAATCTAAAGCCCCCAAATGAAGAGTTCGACTTAATATATTGTAATTCATTGTTAAAAATTTTAAAGCACCGTAACCGTAAATGCAACTTTCAGCGCAATCTAATGGTGATGCTCTACCAATTCCTTCCATAAAAAGTTCTGCAATCGTTAATAAATTTTAAAAAAAAATTAAATGAATTTTACGTCATGAAACTTAATAAATTAAATTTTTTTGTCTTTTTTTTTTTACCCAAAATATCTTTTTCGTTTAGAAATAAATGATCATTACTATCACATCTTGCAACTTTAAAAATCATTTTACAAGCCACACTTAAACAACTATCAATTTTTAACTAAAAAAAAAATTTACTGTTAATTTTTTAACAAAATATAATAAATATTTAAAATTTTTTAAAGAACGTACGTATAAGAGGAGTTTAGCTAAACTTAACAATACTTCAGGATTTTCATTATCATTGAACAGACATAAAGCAGCCAATAATTTATTTTTTAATGTTTCATCTAGAACTGTTTGACTAGCTTTTAACGTATCGTACAATTCGTTATTTGCTTCATAAATTTTAGTACTCTCAGTTCCTAAAAATATTTAGTTTACTTAAATTAATTTTTTTAATCTTTGAAAAAAAAAAACACTTTTTAAAGTATTACAAACCCATTTTAAATAATTCAATTATACGATTCACCAAACGCTCTAAAAAATTCATCCTTTGAGATTTTAAGTTCGCTTGAGCTTCATCTTGAACGTCTTCTTTTTTTGATTTGTAATAACTATTTTGCCAAAACAAATCCCAACTTTCGTTTGAAGACTTTGTGTAAGCAGACGTATTGTCTTTTTCTTCCTCATTATTTATCCATTTTTCATAAGCTTTGGGTTTTCCCTCCTCGACAATTCCAGGAGATTCTTCTTTGAAATTCGATTCAGATTTGATTTTCTCGGATTGGGTTTCTGACGTCATAAGATTTGTGTTATTTTCTTCGCGTTTTTTAGTGGCATCCAAGGACATGTTATTAACATCACTAATACTTTTTTCTTCTACTTTTATATCATTACCTAAATATAAAATTAAAACGATAGACAACCCAAAATAAATTTTTTAAGTTTAATTAATATGATTAACACCAACCATCTTGACACATGTTTTTATAATATTCAGCCGTTTGATATAATTCTAAAATTTCAAGTGGAACGGATTCTTTTTTAACTTCAGGCAATTTTTTAGTTTTTTCTTTTAATAAAGACAAATAATTTGATTTAGGTTCAGTAGAAATAGATTTTTCAACAACATCATTAGCTTTTACACTTAGTTTCGATTCGTTTAAACTGGGTTTGTTTAAAATATTAAATTCATCTTTGTGAGTTTCTGTGACATTTTCTTTTGGATCTTTGCTTATGTTTTCACTTTCCTCTTCTATTTTTGATTTTGCTTCTGACACGATTATAGTTTTAGGTGTTATCGATTTATTACTGTTGCATTTAGAATCCATTACTGTTATTAAATTACCTTATTTAAAAAAAATGATCAATAAATGGTTATTAATTGTGTGTTTTTTAATAAAAATTTTTTTTTTTTACACCTTTTAAAAAATTATACCTTTTACGTAAGTACTAGGTTGAACGTCTTCCTCTTTATTGTTGTAATTATTTTCATTAAATAAATTTGTTTTTAAAATATCTATTTTTTCGCAATCCCTTTCCACTTTTGTTATGTCCATTAATTGACATAAGTCGGCCTTCTTTTCGCTATACACGAACACATTTGTATAAATTTTTCTTATTTTTTAAAGATTTTAAAATTTGTATTTTTTTAAATTTGGCAATAGGATGGCACTCACCCAATTTTTTTATCACCATCAAGAGAATTCATTCTTTTCTCCGGTAAATTGTAATTTGTGGTACAATTGTTTTGTTTACCATCACCAGCTGATTCCCAATTTAAAAAGTTTTTAGAAGCCCGAAATTGTTGATTCAATTCATTGTAAGAAACGGCTTTTACCATTCGGCCTTCTTTCGGACATGAATGTGATTTTTTCCAACTTGGTAACTTATCGTAATTAATATCATTAACTTTTTCAAGCTTTTCCGCATCATAATCTTCATTAACTAAATTCATAAAAATATTTCAAATCAAATTTTTAAGCATTTTAAACGAAAACTTCATTGAAATTAAACAACGACTTACGATTATCTAAAGATAAATTATTTGAATAATGAAAAATTGAATGAGCTTTCCTTTTTGAAGTTAAGTCTATGGATGGTAATTTTAAATGACCTGAAACTTCTTGACTCTGACTTATATTTTTTAAACTGTAAAAAAAGATTTTATATCGACTAAAAGATTTTATTAAAACTAGTTTTAATAATTTGATATAATAAAATGTAAGTCACCTAAAAGAACTTGGTGGTCTTTTATCTTTTTTTCTAATGTTTCCAAATAAAGTTCTTTCAGTATCTTTTGGTGTAAAAGGTCTGCTGGTAAATACTGGCTTTATACCAGCTGCAGGAACCGTCATGACTGCTGCTCGTGCTTCTTTTATTATATCTGCAGACGTTTGTCCATACAGTCTTGGCGGTGGAGTATAAAACGGTACATGGGTTTTATTTTTTTTACCCCCTTGTTGAAACTGGGTTTGCATTTTACCAGTATTTTTTTTTACCTTTAGTGAAAAAATTCAATCATGAAACTTTTTAAAATTGAATAATTATTTTCATTACATCAAAACATTATCTCATTAAAGTCAATTCCTAAAACATCATGTAATAATACTTTATTAGAAAATACACAAATTAAATATCTTCATACGACTTAACATAAAAAAAAATTTAACAGAACAAAGTTTTTCGTAATTTATTTTTATACAGAACATTAAAAGTTATATTATCTAAAGTTTCATCTTTTTAAGGCAATGGTTTAATTTCAATAATGAAATTTTAAAATGTATATTTTACAATTCACCTTTCTTTAAGGCACGAAAAACAATTATATAATTTATTACAATAACTTTAAAATTTTAAAAGTTTTTCATTTAAAAAAAAAATACTTTTAAAAGTTAAAACGTACCTTTATAAAAACCAAACATTTTCCTTTATAATTTGCACTTTGCTCAAAATTTTAAATTATTTGAGTCTTAGTGCATTATTACTGATAGAATATAAAAGTTTCACATTATACTTTTAAAAAAAAAGTAATACCTTAGAGGGTCAAATCAATAAAAAAATAAGACATTACCAAGCAACGAAATTCAAAACAATGTAGCAAAAAGGCGCTTTTGCTAAGGTTTTATGGCATAGCAACAAGACGAACAACTTAAACCAGGGACGAATGTAAATAAATTTTAACAGAAATGTACACAATGCCGGATTTTTTAACTTTTATTTTTTCTTACTGTTGATATTACCTTCTTTTCTATATGAAACTCAATTATAAAACCATGAAAGAAAAAAAAGAAAATTGTTTTTATATTATTTCGTTAAGTTTGCTTGGTGAGAATATTTTTTTTATACTAATTACTAGTTTAAAATTTTTACCAATGCTGTCATTTCGACCACAAGCAAAGTTTTTTTTAAATTAACAATAATGTAATAATAAAATCAATGCGTTGCAATTTAAATATTTAAATGTAGCTCATGTAGAGTATATTTATAAGTCTATAAAATTGATTCGATAGTTGTTTAATTTTTACTTACAGCGACAGGGTTTGCTTTTATTCATATGCATCACGTTTCAACTTTATTTGAAAATGACCGTCATTTTTCTCATTTGTCCAATTTGGAAAGAGAAATGACTTTTAGAACAGAAATGGGATTTTATTATCATTATTATAAAAAAATAATAAATGCTCCATCGTTTGAATCGGGGTTAAAAGCTTTGCTTCAAGACAATCAAACAGAATATCCAGATGTTATTAATGCTTTACAAAGGTTTAATTTATATCCAGAGGTAAAATATTAAAATATTTATTGTCGAAAAGTTTAATCATAAAGAGTTTTTCTAAAAAAAATACCCATGAACCAAAAGTAATTTTTTCCTTTTTTAAAAACATATTTGTTTACCTTAAAAAAAAATTTTTATTAGGTTTTCATTGGTGGCCTATACAGAATTTTTGATTTTGTTACAAAAAGATATGATATTACTACTAAACAGTGTTGGGAGGTTAACAGAGGTCAATCGTTACCACCTGTAAACAGCTGTGAGGGACTAGGAGATCCAATGTATTTTTATTTAGAATTTGTTTGGTACTGTGCTGGATTGTCAAAAGCAGTATTATTTATTTATGCTGTTGTTTTAAGGTGATTAAAAGTTTATGTAACAAAAAATGCTTGAAAGTATAATTGCAATAATATTTTGAGATTTGAAAGAATTAATAGTACAATAAATTATTCATTCATTATTTTAGCAACTCATTCGGAGGAGGACTTTTGACAGTTTTAGGGTTTCTTTTTAACCATGGACATTGTACTAGAGTTCAATGGACTCCTCCTTTAAGAGAAAGTTTTGCATATCCGTTTTGCCTCAGTCAAATGTTAGCAATCACATACTGCCTTAAAAGTTCAAAAAACAAAATAAATACAAAATGGAATTTATTATTTCAGGTTTACTAGTGTTTATCAAAATTAAAACAGTAATACATTGTTTAAAAAAAAAAATTATTGATGTTTGAAAAAAATTTTTTTCAAGGTTTGGACTATAACTTTATCAAGTACTAGTTCATTATTACTGTGGCAGTTTTCTCAATTTGTGCTGGCAACTCAGGTTGTGGCAATATTAATAATGTTTTGTTTGGGAATAATCCATAAAAAAACTGTTTTAATTATTTTAGTTTCTCAATTGGTTAGTGTGAGAGTAAAAATAAAATTATTTTTTAAAAAAATTTCAAATAATGATTTTGATTTTGAAATTAAAATTCATGTTACATTCTTAGGTTGGGCTTCTACAAGCTGCCGTATTAATGTTTGGAAATGAATTTCTTTTTCAATCAATCTTGTTCAGTCTTTTGATATCTTCAATAGCAATTGTTTTAAGTTGTGATTTTAAAATTCATTATCCATCTTTTCATGGAGGCTTTATATTAATATCCAGTCTTGTCATAACATTTTCATTGAAAAGTAAAATTAGTCGTTTTTTCAGTGAACATGATGTAAGTACTTTAATTAAATTTAGTGATATTTCGTTAATAATAATTCAATTTGAAATTAATTTGATTTATTTTCATTTCTAATTTAGGCTCACATATTCGATTTATTATTAGCTAAAGTAACTAATTTTAAAAATTTTCACACAATGTTATACACTTGTTCACCCGAATTTGATTTCTTGCCACTTTCTACAGTGTATGAATTAACAATAACCGGCTTGATTCCTACAGTATTAATTGTAATTGGCATATTACTTTTTAAATGGGGAAAACACTTCATTTTTAAAAAACAAAAACATGGCCAGTCACAAAATGTAATCGATCCTGAAGTTGTTTACAATTTTTTACAATTAGGGGCCTTTACCATTATGACTTACTTTATTATGAGGTTAAAATTATTTTGGTCACCACATTTATGTCTTATGGCTTCCTTGATCATGTCGACAAAGGTGAGAAAACAAATCTGGTATTTTCAAATTTATTTTTCTTAAATTATCATTACATTTTCATTACAATTGATTTTAATTTTTAGTATTTGTCTTCTAAAAACAATTTAAGGTATTCCATTTTAACGATACTCATTGCGGCCATGAGTTATCACGGAATAAATAACATCATCAGACAAAGGAATATAATGGGTAAATCTTAAGTAATCAACAATGTAATTGTGATTCGATGAATATTATTATTAAAAAAAAAAAATAAAACCTACAATTTAAATTGCAGGTGAATATATAAATATTCCTTTTGAAGAAGTACTTACTTGGATCTCTTCCGAAACATTACCCACCGATGTTTTTGCCGGTCCCATGTCAATTATGGCAAATGTTTTATTATCAACGGGAAGAAGAATTGTAAATCATCCACATTACGAACATCACAACATGAGGTGCCCTAAATTTTTTATTAAAAAAAAAAATATTCATTTGTTAGTTTTAATTTTATTTAAGCTTCAAAGAAAAGTTTTAGTAGTTTAAGTTATATAATTTTTCTCAGACTTTCGTTTTTTTTTTTTTAAAGAAATGAGTCATAAGAGTATTTTTTTTATATATTTCAGAGAAAGAACTTTAAAAGTTTATTCCGTATTCAGTCGGCAAAATCCTCAACAAGTATTTTCCACATTGATTGATATGGGAGTCGATTACGTCATCCTCGATGAAACCTGGTGTTTTTATCAAAGCAGGCAAATATTAAAATCATCTTTTGTTTTTTTTTTTTATCTTGAGACATGATTGTAATACTTTTTCTTCCTCTCATTTCAGAGAAAATTGTAGCATGATCGATTTATGGGATTTGGTAGATTTAGAAAATGCAAACAACGAACCATTATGTCCGAAACTTTTTAACGGAAATCCCGAGCCATTTATCAGAGCTTTTGCCAACGACGTATTTGTTATATTATCGTTAAAAGCGAGACAATTCATTGAAATAACACCCTTACGTCAATATCAAATATGAAAATTTTAATTAGAATAAAAATATTTTAAATAATATTATTATTATTAATAAATGAGATATAAGATATTTTTATAGATGTTTCGTTAATTAGATCTGTGTTAAAATGTAATTTTATTTATTAAAAAATTTTCATTTTTTTATGTGAATATTCACATAAAATTTAAATTGTGATTAAATAATGAAAGCCTGAAAAAAATTTTTTTTTTTTTTGTAAAAAAAACGAACGAGTCAGATTATTATTTTTTCTAATTTTACATTTTAAAAAAAAATTTTTTTATTTTTTTATAAAAGTTAATTATTTAATGAGGTATTTTCTCGATTTTAAAATATTTTAATTATACGTAATTAATTTTAAAAAAAAATAATAATAATAAATCTCATAAAATCGTGTGTTACCAATCGTTAAATGTAGATTATTTAATTTTTTTTTGAAAAAATATTATTTGTACGAATTAAAATATTTTAATTTTAATAAATAACAAAAAAACTATTATTATTTAAATCTTTTTTTTCCCCTTAAATAATTTAAATAAATAAGATTTGTACGGTGGATTTTTTTGTAAATTTTTTTCTTCGGTATTAAAATGGCCATTCAAAAAATTTTCCACACACTTTCATTTTCATGAAATACAACTCTAAATAACAACGCTCTGAGTATTATTATTATTATTATTAATATAGTTATTAAAAAATAAATAAATATTTAAAGTTAAGGCTTAAGAGTAACGGTTTAAATAAAAATGACATAAAATTTATCAAATCTAGGTTGTTATGATTATTTTAAACTAGTTCAATAACTAAAAGAAAATTCTGAATATTTTTTCAATTTTCATCCGGATTAATATTTATCCATACCAACGACATTATTATTCAATTTTGAACAAAATGTAATAATAATAATAATAATAATAATAATAATAATATCAGGTATTGATATAACTTTTTCGTGATTCAAAAAAAAAAAAAAAAAAGTTTATGATTTATGTGAATAGACTTGAATGTGATCCATTGAAAACATAATAATTTTTTTTTTTTTAAATTCGATTCTTATAAAAACGGAATGAATTTTTTTTTTTTTTTATAAAATTTCTCTTTTCTTTTCCTCCAAAATTCCAGAGTAATAAGTAATATATATATATATAAAAATTCCAGTGATTCATATATCCGAGTGAATCGGACTTAAAAATAAAGGTTGGTTGAGTTTTTTAAAAAGTTCATTGCCTCGACCGCGTTCAATGTATTTCCTTAACAATTTATTACAAAAAGATTATAGTTTTAACGTAAATATAATATTTAAATCAATTTTCTTAAAATTAAATTAATTTTATTTAACGTAATTTATATATCAAGATATTATTTTTTATTTATTTTTACGTTATTACATAAATCAACTTATGATAAATTTAAAAAAAAAAAAAAAAAAAAAGAACCGTTGGTTTGTTTCCTGTGTCTCGAAAAAAAAAAAAAAAAAAAAAAAAATTCAAGATGACCTGAACCTTGCGTTTAAAAACCATTTTATATTTAATATTCATATCATTTTTAAATCTACCTCACCGTTTAGTTGTTTTAAAAACCTGAAAAAAAAAAAAAATTATTTTTTATACAGGTACAAGGGTTCCCAAAATTTTTTTTTTTTTTCAATGAGAGGAGTACCTGTTTTGTTATAAATGTAACAATGTATTATATACAATAATAAATTTTTTTAATCGAAAATGGAGATTTTTTTTCTCTCTCTCTTTATTACCACCAATCGATTAGAAAATCAACGATTATCGATCGATTATCGATAATCGATATAAAAATAAATGAGAATGAATCGAGGATGTATATATATATATTAATTATTGTTTTTTTTTTTTGGTTTTGTAGAGTTTATGTAAAAAACGGGGGGGGGGGTAGGGGTAAACAAAAAATAATTTCAGGTACGTTCATTCAAAACAAGTATCCGATGAATAAAAAGAAAATTTTTTTTTTTTTAAATTAATTACTCAACATTTAAGGTAATAAAAAAAAAAAAAAAAGAAAATTTTGTTCAACACTGAACAATTTTTTTTTTTTTTTTTTAAGGTGCAAATCTCAATCTTCTCAAGAAAATATAACTGTGAATCACGTAATCAGGTATACAGGCTCTCAGTCTGGGATCATCCTTTATCGATAACGTACCTCGTTACAAAAAAAAAAAAATAAATTTACGTTTTTTAATTTAAAAAAAAAAAAATAATTTTTTTTTTTTGAGATGAATCAGATGATATAGTTTGTGTTAATTTCGTTAATTAAAAAAAAAATTTTTTGTTTTTTTTTTTTTTATTTTCGTAAAAATAAGACGTCGTATTAATATTATTATTATTATTATTATTATTATTAAAATGGAATCGTAGCAAATAGAAAAAGAAAAAGAAAATTCTATAATTTTACTTTTATTTTCGGTGAGTTTTCATTTTTTTTCAATTTTTTTTTTTTTGTCAAATTGTGACGATTATAACGGATCGTATTAAAAAAAAAAAAAGGAAAAGTTTTTTTTTGTCGTAAATTAAATTGACATCAATAAATAAATAAATAAATAAATAAAATGTCGTTAATAGTTTTTTTAGCAAAGAATGCTTTTATTAATAAATAAAAGTAAACCAGGATAGAGTTAGGGCATTAGCACAACAATGAATAATAAATTATTTTTATTTAAGGTAAGTTAAATTATTATTATTCTGACGTCATTATTATTATTATTATTTAAAATCGGGAGATATTTAAAAAAAAATTAAATTTATTACAGATTATTTTTTTCGCGTTAGCACAAAAATTAACAATTTGTTTGGAATTAAAACCTTGTAATAAAAATTTAAAATATTTATATGGAGATGCATTAGAAAATCCTCAGGGATGTATAGGACCTCATGGATTAACTTATCCGACGTACGTATTAATCTCTCGTTAATCTCTCGTTAATCCCATCAAGTTTTAAAACTTAAACTTAATTTAAAAAATTTTTTTTTTTTTTTTAATTTTAAACAGAGATTTAATTAATAGAACATTTAAATCAAGTGATAAAACAACCGCGATGACAACAACATGGCCAACATTTCGAAAAGCAAGATTTTTAACAAAACAAACATTAGATCCATTAATTGTACAAAAAACATTGTTGAGAAATTACGAAGTAGCAAATGATAATATTGATAATTTTAGAATGGGTACGTTTTGATTTCCATTAATGGTAACGATAACCATTTTTTTTTTTAATAGACAAATATTTATTATTTTTGTTTGTGTCCGCCCTCGAAAGGTAAAACATCATTAAGGGATGAAAATTCGTGTCCAACACCAGCAAGATTATGCAAAACAAAATATAACACGACAGCACCAATGTATGGTGTGTCTTTAACGAGTGGACAACCGGTAACAATCGTACAAAAATTTCCCGATTTATTACAACAAGTCGTATTCGAAGTTTGCGAGTAAGTTTAAAACAATAATAATAATAATAAATTTTCTGTACAAAGTACTAAAAAAAAAAAAAATCAGTTTAATATTAACGGTAAATTATTATTATTAATTAAACTTTTAATAATTTCTTTTAATTACCTTAACAAACATGTTGTGATAACTGTTAAAATTATATTCAAAGTAGTATCATTATTATTTATTAAAATTCTAAATAAATTTAGGAAAAAATAATCAAACAATTTTATAATAAATAAATAAATAAGGTTTTCTTCGTACCTTTTTTTTTTTTTTAGGGACAATAACCTCCGGTAAGAAATATTTTTTGTGTGTGTGTGTGTGAACTAAATAAATTTTTTTTTTTTTATTATTATGTTACAGATCTTCGGAATGTGACGTAGTTAGAGGAGAATGTACTCAAACCTACGTACCTTACCTATTTTTAGTGATACCTTTAGGCCCTGTAACTCTAACGGGTCAAGATTATGTATTAGTTGAAAGTGGATGTACATGCAGACCAAAATATTCTAATTCACCGGCACCGAGTCCAGTTAGTGCTTTACCTACGGTTTAATTTAATTTAATATAAATAAATTATTAATTAATTAATTAATTAATTATCAAGACTACTAATTTTTTTTTTTTTCACATGTTAATATTATAATCATCATTTATATATATATAAATTGTTAATTAATTTGTTTATACATAATCATAATCTATTATTAGTATTATTATTATTATTAATTGTTTAAATAAAATTAGAAATTAATACTTTTACATTAATTAATTAATTTTAAAACCTGAAAATACCTGAATCGGATAACAAATTTTTTAAATAATTAATTATTTTATATAATACAATACATTTTTTTAAAATTATGTTTTGTAAAAAGTCAACGTTAAAATCATTTCTTATTAATTAATAACCAATTATTTGCCAATAAATGATGCTGTGACAAAAATAAAATCAATATAATTATATTTATATTAAATAAGGAGATGATTGTACATTTAAAAAAAAAAAAAAACAAAAATTTTAATTAAAATAAGAACAAAAACAATTTACAACTGATATTTTTACGAATTAATTTTTTTTACTTCTTAATTAAGTTTATAATAAAAACTTTAACAAAGAGAGAGAGAAAAAATTTTTTTTTTAAATTTTTTTTACAAAATTTTATTTACAGTTTTTTTTTTTTTTAAAAAGTAAAATTAAAGCAGCATACGCATACGCATTCGAATTTTCATCAAATTTTTTTTAAATTTTACCAATTAAAAAAAAAAAAAAAAGGGTCAAAGCGTTTTTTTTTTTATATAAACAATTAATAATTTATCATCTTTTTTTTTAATAATAATGATTTTTAAATTATTTTTATGTATATATAAAACTGTTATTTTTGATATATTTATATATATATATATAAATATATATATATATATAATAAATAGGTTTTAACAAAAAAAAAAAAAAAAAAAACTAATTTTTTATAAAGTTTACTTTACTTACAAAAGGGAAACACAACCCAGGTTTATATTTTTGTAACCTTAAAATTTTTAGGTATTTAAAACTTTTTTTTTTTTTAATTAATAAAACATACATATTAATAAAAAATAGATATATTATACGTTGCATGTACGATGCAACGCAGATAGTTTTTACTGAACTTTAAAAAAAAAAAAAGTAACGGTTATATTCAAGTTTCATCCACTTTTTGTCTCTTCCCGGAAAATTCATATTTTCTATTTCCTTTTTTCGGTATTCTTACTGATTTCAACGATTGATAAGTTCTTTTACTCGAATTAACAACATTTTTTTGTTGCGTCAAACAACAAGGAGTTTTCATTTTGATTCCTTCCTCGATACCACTATCACAGTCTTTGGTTTTTAATTTAATAAAATCCATGTTGTGATTTTTATACACGTTCAAATTAATCATATTATTATCAATTTGACTCATGCCAATGTTTTTATCGTTCTCGTTAATTTTTTTTATAACTTGAGTAACTTCTACCGGTTTTTCCGAAATAACTATCGTTTCTTGCGGTAGTAAAACTTTTCTCTCGGAACCTGTTTCGTTAGCACAAGACACCGATATATACTCGTTAATACTATATTTTTTAAATGAATTATCATCACCTTCTCCCTCTAGGTCATCATCATCATCATCACCATCACTAATGGCCATGTCTGAATCATTGTTTTTTTCAATTGATGTACACATTATTTGAGATTCAATATCCGGCACTTCACTCACGCAGACACTTCTATTATCGTCCGTCGATACCAAAGAAGTATTTCCTTCACAAAAATTTAAACTCTCCCTCTCTCGTCCGGCACACATATTTTCATTTTGCACAAACACACCCAAAGAATTTGATTTCGAATAATCATCTTCGTCGCTTTCCGAATCATCGTAATCCACGAGAGAACTACTTTTCAAAAGGGGACATTCATTCTATTAAAATAATAATAATAAAAAAATTAAATCATGTTTGATTAATGGTAAAGTAAATTATTATTATTATTATTATTATTAATAAACTTACCTGATTATTAGGCGATTCGATTTCGTTGGAAGAAAATTCTGATCTGACAATCCATTGACCAGGCATTTCATTTATTTCTAATTCTTCTTCGACTACACCATCTTCGTCTTCTTCTTCTTCTTCTCCTTCTTCATCAACTTCATCTTCGTCTTCTTCTTCTTCTTCTTCCCCACATATATCTGTATCATCCCCGAAATCATTATCAAACCCTGTAACATATATTAAAATTAATTTTTGACAAAAAAAAGAAAAAGTTTATTTTTAATTAAAATTTTTTTACCTTCTATTTGAGTTACATTTTTTTCACCCTCATCTTCATCATTTATATCCTCTTCATCCTCTTCTTCATCTTCATCTTCTAACTGCGTGGCTTCCTTAAAATATATATACATATACATGTAATTTAATATATAATAAATCAATCAAACTTTTTTAAATTGTAAACAAATATATACCCCAGAAGAATTTCCATTGGTAAAAGTAAGGATTGGTAAACCCATTTCTTCGACTTTAATCCCTTGTTCTTCCATTAAACTCCTTATTAACATGGCTAATTTTTGCCGTTTACCAGACACCACTTCCTCAGGAAACCATTCTTGTAAATACTTTAATGGCAACTTGAAGTCATGTAAAGGATTCTAAAAAGAAATAATTTAAACATGAATTTTCATAATACAAAAATATTATTTAAAATGGTTTTTAATAATTTATTTATTTACCTGGAAAAAACTTTCGACATATTGCAAAACGTATAGACCACAATCCGTAAAATTATTTTGTTGTGGGACTTTGGGAACAGCACCTTTAATTGTATCTTTGCTAAAATCTCTTTCTTGACCTATTTTAGTTTTATATTCGATTTTTAAATAATCACGAAGAGTTGCAACAACTCGAACGCGGCTAGCTCCAGCCAAGGAATCAAATATTAAAATGCAAGGCCTGAAATATTTTCAAAAAGTTGTGAAATTAAAATTAATAATAATTTAAAATTACACAAAAATAAATAATAATCATACACATACTGTTTAATGGGTTCTTTATTTATTTTTCTTTTATTATTTTTAAACTTAGCAACTGATCCTGCTTGAGTGGCAGATGTTAAAAGCGGTATTTGAACGTTGGAAGAACTCATGTTTCCCTCTTCCTCAGTCTGTTCACTCTCCTAAAAATAAAATAAAATTTAAAAAAACAGCTTTCTAATTTAGGCCAAGCCACAAATAACAACGAATAATAATATATACTTCATCATCCGAAGAAGGATGCAAATCATCTTGATCCCCTTCGGCTTCGTCTCTGTCGGAGCTGCAATCCATATCCAAATTATTTCCATCCGATTTGATTATATGAGTGATAGTCGTATTTCCTATTTGAAGCGTTTGAGTATTTTTTTTTGGGGGTGATTCTTCCAGAACTACCGGACTATTATCGGAAAATCTAACGGGTCCTTGTAATCCAGGAAAACATATAATTGCCAAAAACCAATGGGAACTTAAAAAAAAGGAAAAGTTTATCATTAACTATTTCCAGTTAGCCAATTGATTACTCATTCAAATTTTACTTACTGTTCATTAATAGGAACTATTATAAAATCTTTTTCAAATAAATTAACTTGCTTAGTCCATCCTTTGACTCTCATATGTCTTTTCTCAGCGGGTGATAATTTAGAATCGTTTTCTGGATCATTTTTTCTTAACGACTTGGGCTTCGTCGTAAGTCTTTTATAAAAAAATGTAGAAAATACGTGGGTTCGATTTCTGTCCTCCGGGGAAAGAACTTTTAATAACAAATATCTAAAAAATCAATAATTTATAAAACTTGTGGTAAAAAAAAAAAAAAAAAAAAAAAAAAAATTCATTTCAATTGTATATTATTAGCAATCGATACCACTCAACTCAACTTTCATTTGTAAATAAAAAAACAATATTTACTTACTTTAAATAAAAATCTATAATCACATCATTTAAAAACTGATCCTCTCCTAAGCAAGCGTAATCTTGATTGTTTAATGTTATACCTCCTTTTTCAGGCGGTGGGGGGTAAACCATAATTCTAAAAAAAAAAAAAAAAAAAATTAAAATTATTCTTTGAAAACAATGGACGCAATAAATATTAATATATTGTAATTTAAATAAAAATTAAATGCATCATACTTTCGAACAGTGTTAACTGATTTGTTTAAAACGGTATTTTGCAAGTCAGATGGAGAAGCTCGAATTAAAATATCGTTGGCTTCTTTTTCAGTAAGTTCTTCTAATTTTTCCTGACCGAAAATTTTGTACAGAATAATTTTATTATCTTCAGAAATTTTATCCAAAAGCAAAATTATCCTTCGATGCGTTTCTTCTGAAACGAAAAAAAAATTAATAAAGAAAAACAAAATAAAATGTGTTGCCTGATTTTTTTTTTTTCGTATTATGAATTTTTGAATGCACAAGGAGGTAAATTAAAAGCGTCTTACCTTCGTGGTTAAATGGATCATAATATGGTCCCTTTTTATCATTCATACCTAATGCGTT